TAAAAGAAAATGAATTGAATAATTAGTCGACTGAGGAGTTGCTGAAAAATATAAAACAAGGATGCAGAAAAGGGGAGGTATGGGGAAGTCCGGAGAAGTAAGGCTTATGAAAAAATGGTTATGAAATTATACATGTTTATATGTTTGTATGTCGGTGTATTGTGTATTGTTTGTCTTTTTATTTTGTGTTTGGAAAATTAATAAAAATTTATTTAAAAAAAAAAAAAAAACAGTGGGCTAGGTGCCAGAGCCAAAAGAGAGGCAGTGATGTTCCAGCCACATGGCCTTGCAATCTAAATAACTTTTTAAAAAGAGAGAAAGGAGGACAGGATTTGAGAAGGGGACAATAGGGAGTAGCAGAGGAAGGGTTAATTGTAAGCTGGCAGCACAGAACAATGCTGTTGGCGAGGAAGAGAGATTCTGTGAAAAATGATGTTTAGAATCAAACAATAAGAAGGTAGTTTGGTTTCTGAGGCTCTATGTAAAGAAACAATGATACTGGGAGTGGAAGAAATGAGGGGAAAGAGTCAATTATCATGTCAAGAGGAGGAATCTGGAAAGGTGAGAATTAAGGACACAACGTTGAGATGTTAAGGTTTGGAACCTGTAACTGATTCATTCATAACGAACCTGACACGCCTCGCGTATTCATGAATCTGGATGGTTGCTTACAAAGGTAGAAATAAACACGAACTATCTTCCAACCATACCATTACCAGTATACACACCTGTGTGGTTTTTTTATATAGAACAAAATATATTCTAATTCTTCAAGTGCTACTCCTTAGCCAAAATGGTACCATCCATGCATAAGACGGAAATTATTAGAATGCTTGCGCAACTCCAATGTTTGCAGAAATAATAATAATAAAACCTTCTTACTGTTTTCTCCCCCTCCATACACTTGCCCAAAAAACTGCCTGATGCAAGTTAATAAGACTTGTCATTTCTTCTGGGGGACGTGGACTCAAAACCAGCCAAAGGAGGACTAAGAGTGCTCAGTGGCTACACAATGCCAACTGATAGTTGGAAGAGGAAAAATGGAAAACCACATGGGAGGGGAATGGAATGGAGTATTTTAAAAGGCAGCATGAGTGGCTGGCTGGAATCCTGAACTCTAAAGTGGAAGATTTTGCTGCAGATCCCATTGTATATATGTTGGCTTTAGTGATAAAAAAGAAGTTGCTTAAGGTTCTTGGCCATTCACAGAATTAGATCATTTTGTTTCATATCTATTTCTTTGAAGACTTTATTCTTCTGGGCTGAGAAATCATATATCTATATAGTAAACAAAGCATCCTCATGGGAGACTTTACTATGTTTTTGGCATCCAACCAACATGTGCATTCCTCTGATGCTCTGAGATATTCATAAACACATGCATCACTTCATTTCAGCATCAGCAAGAGGACATAAATTAACAATGAGTATCCACCAGTGTTCATTGTCCTTCACTGGCAACCACTAAGCTCTATCCAGCTGCCACAATCTCCTAAACTTCAAGGATATCTTTAGGTGGAATACAGCCACATCCAGAATGGGTTGAACATCACCACCTTGACAATATGAACCACCTATCAACAGCACTTCCATCTTGTCAGAACTGAGCTTCAGTTTGTTAGCAATTCCGCAGTCTCTTCAGGATCTCATATAAAAGAGAGGTGCCAGTGCTATCTACATATCAGTGACACCCAGCTCCTAACCTTGCTCATTAATTTCATGTAGATGTTATAAAGCAGTGCCCACCCATGCGATCTTGATTCCATGGGGTCCAAATACCATGATGCCAAACTATAGCCCTCTGCTCCTGCTCCCACAACACCATCTAGAATCAGTCTTTTTGGAGAAGAATTGTCAAAACCAGAAGGACCTCATGATTGATGACATCAAAAGCTGCCGATTTAGAATAGGGTTGATTCAGGCATAGGCAAACTTGGCCCTCCAGATGTTTTGGGACTACAACTCCCATCATCCCTAGCTAACAGAACCAATGGTCAGGGATGATGGGAGTTGTAGTTCCAAAACATCTGGAGGGCCAAGTTTGCCTATGCCTGGGTTAATTTATTGATTTTATGATACCTTATTTCATTTGCCTTCCCTTTTAATGAGTAAGTAAACGGAGTAATTTAATTAGTGCAGTAAATATTTGCATTGTGTCACTGATGATACTGCTAGTGTTGTTCATCCCTTTAGCATGGATTTTCAACTGTTGGTCAATGACAAATTGAACACACAATGTGTGCATCTATTCCCGCATTGCTTGCACTATTCACAATATATATATATAAATTTGTGCAGCCATAGATTCAACATGCCGTAAATTGTAGCAGTCTGAAAGGCAATTCATCATGCTTCATAAAAAGTGTGTGGATTTAAATTCTACAAATGGTACACTTAGTAATATTATTATTATTATTGCACCTAAAAGTATATCAGGCACATCACAACTGTCATTGGTGAGCAGCTCTTGTCATTTCCTCATTATCTCCAAGCAGTCCTTGCTTTTTTGTCTATACTCTTTGGTTCAAATTGCGAGATTTACTAGTTTCCTCAATGTGAAATAACACCAGAATGACAAACACATTTTTTTTAAAAAAATGTCATATTGATGAGTAGATGAACACTCTTTGAGAGCTTTGTGAAGGCATTTATTTATTTAAATTTGTATACCACCTGTCATCTGAACATCTCAGGGTGTTCCACAGCATAAAAATACATTAGATCAAAACACAAAATACATAATAAAAACAATAAGAAAACAAATCTAAAGGTGTACAATGAAGGTGCCAGGGAGAGCACTCCACAAACAGGGAGAGCCACTGCAGAAAAAGCCCACTCTTCTGTTGCCACCTGCCGGATCTTACATGGAGGGGGGCACACAGAGAAGGGCTCTGATGATGATCACAGGATCCAGGTAGGCTCATATGTGGAGAGGCAATCCTTGTGGTATTGTAGTCCTGAGCCATTTAAGGCTTTAAAGGTCAAAACCAGCACTGTGTATTGGGCCTGTAAACTAAGTGGCAGCCAGTGAAGTCTAGCCAGGATCAGTGTTGTAGGCTTAAACTGTCTTGTCCTGGTGATCAACCTGGCCACTGAATTCAGCACTAGCTGAAGTTTCTGAACCATCTTCAGAGGCAGCCCTACATATAACATGTTGCAGCAATCTAGCCTAGAGGTTACCATAGCAACTGTCCCCAGCTCAAGGACAGGAGCCGCCCCCTGAAATTATGATACGCATTCCACAAGTCTGGGGAAAATGAGAGAACACACTCCCTCCAGCAAGGAAGCATTGCTTTAGGTTCTACTTGATCAAGGCCACAAGTAGTAAATTGAGTGGGTGTATTCCTTTCTAGACCTTGTTTGGAAGCACTCCCAAATTAGCCAGTGCATGACTAAGTTTGATCGGAGCTTAAATTAAAAGCCCAAAGCCACCACTGAATTCCACATATTTAACAGTGTTCCAAAATAAGGCATTGCAAAAACATTGTATAAAAGAGGGTTATGAAACTGAAAAAATAAATGAGCTTTGGAGACTACTATACATTTATTAGTTAAGTACCATTTTCCTAATCCATTCATTTTATTCTGGAGGTTGGTGGCTGACTACAAAGGGTTATCTGATAAAGTGACAAAAAGCACTAATGTAACCCAAGCTGCAAAGTAAAATTACCTGAAAGCAAATAAAAATCTATGAAGGAAATGAACTTTGTGCACTTGGCACAGGGTGAAAGCAGGTACATGAATTTACAAATGCAATTTCATTTCCTGTGTGCTGTAGATCATGAAATAGCCAGAAAGAGTACAGGTCTACTTAGATTACAAAAATTATGCTTAATGTGTGTACAGCAGCACGGCTATAAGAGGTATTTATGACAGATTTGGCATTAAAATGAAGGAATAGATCACATGCAACAGGGATGCGAGATTCCAGAGCTGGAATGGTAAGGACTAGGAAGGGTGCTTTCCCCCAAAAGATTTAGTTGACTACAAGTCGAGAGGTTATGACAACATACTACATGGCAACAATGAGCTGGGAAGTCTCAGGTGCTGCAATACCTAAACATGAAGTTGCCTTACTGAGTCACCCCACAGGTGTATTTAGCCCAACATTGACCATTCTAACTCTGTAGCTCACCATGGTCTCAGAGCTGCTGAGAGGCAGGTACAGGAGGGACTGTAACTTTCCCATGGTAGTTTTGTCTGAGATTAGGTACTCCCTCAAAGTTTCACAATAAGTGCAGGTGGCTATGCAAAATGTGAAAACTATGCAAAAAGGCTTGGGTATGTATCCTGTTGTGCAGGAGCTAAGGAAAAGGCAGTCATTAAGGCAGTCAGTACAATAGCAGCAAGTCTATTTGTGTTTCACAGGCTAAATGAGTACACAGTTGCTACCAAGGCCAGTGTGGTGTAGTGGTTAAGAGCGGTAGTCTCCTAATCTGGGGAACCGGGTTCGCGTCTCCGCTCCTCCACCTGCAGCTGCTGGGTGACCTTGGGCCAGTCACACTTCTTTGAAGTCTCTCAGCCCCACTCACCTCACAGAGTGTTTGTTGTGGGGGAGGAAGGGAAAGGAGAATGTTAGCCGCTTTGAGACTCCTTAAAAGGAGTGAAAGGCGGGATATCAAATCCAAACTCTTCTTCTTCTTCTTGGCATTGGGGGAAAGCAGGGTTCTTGTGTCTTTAACAGCTGTGTGTCAGGCAGAAATGCAACTGGTTAAGTCTTTTCTAGTAAGGAAATAAAATTATGGGTAAGTTTACCTCTTCACATTCTGTCTGTCCGATATTTTATTACATGTGTGACCACTGATTTATTTATTGGAATCTCCACTCCACCTGCAAAATATGACACAAATTTGCATATGACACAGAGCTTATGCTGGTTTTTTAAAATGCAAATCTGTGTCATCTTTTTGCAAGTGGGGTCAAAACCACATATATTGAACTGGACCCAGAAAATGCTATTGGCACGCATGCTCCCTCCCGGCCTAGTAAGATCCTTTAACGGGAGAGAGCCAGGAATGAACCTTGGACCTCATGCATACAAAGCATGTATTCTACCACTGAGATATGACCTCTCCAGGAATGTGATATGTTTTAATTCTGAGAAGGCTCAATACATATAAATTTGGTGCTGCCTTCAAAACACCTGATGCTGACATTTAGAAATTCCAAACAGTTTCCCACCTCTGATTATATGAACTAGAACTTGTCTTTTTGCACTTACTGCCCCCATATAAAAGTGCCTAACTTCTCATATCCACAAGCACTGAGCACATATTAATGCAACAAAAGATGTAACTTTACATCAGAGGCAAATTGCAAGCAGGCTCCCCAGAATATTGCTGCTTCAGTGATGTGCTATTTAAATGTACATGCTGCTTAAAGCACAGCCTCCCAGTGCTGCTTAAAGCACAGTCTCCCAGTGCAGTGCCACATTCCAGCTCCTACAGCATACTAAGAGAGAGACCCTTCAAACTAAAGAAAAAAGAATATACATGAAAATCACATTTCCCATCAGCATGTTCATACCTCAATCAGGCTTTCATTGCACAAAAGGCTATTATGTAGGAAAAGTCAGTTTTCCTTTTCACAGAGTACTGGAACATGGGATTACGATGGGTCTGGAAAGAGATCATCCTAGCTAGTTTAAAAAACATAAAAGTGGGCCTATGTGGCATAAACAGAATCCTTCTCCTGAAACTCCCTCCCATTATGTATCAAGACATGTGCTGTCACTATTATTTTTCCAGCTTCTACTGAAGTCAGTTCAGCAAACTTGTTTAGCAGAGATTTTTATCCCAGTCTTTACTGAGCTTAAAATGGTAGATAGATAGATAGATAGATAGATAGATAGATAGATAGATAGATAGGTAGGTAGGTAGATCACTTTGGGATGTTTTTGGGAAGTGATTTATAAACATATTAAAAAATAGGTATAAAATAAGAGAACCTCCTGAATCTATTTTATTTGTTTGCATATTATTTATTTTAGGCTGAATTTTTGTTTTAATGGATATTGTATTTATATTGTACATACTACACACCTCTTAAGACATTTAAATATATATATATATATATTAAATGGTTTAGACATGCTTTTGAATGAATGAATGAGCATAGATAGCTTGGAAGCCATAGAACTGCCATATCTTTCTCACACTGTTGGTATTCCAAGTGTCTTGATCTCCACAGTTTGCAAAACTTAGGATAGCCAGAGGACACCTCTTCCCAACTACCGTACATCTTTTCTCTCAGCCTCCACAGCTCAACACAGACAAAGTGCTCTGGAAAGAAGTGTGAAGGTTTTCCTCATTCCCCATTCCCAGGACAAGGGCTTCCCGATCATTTCAGTATGTTGAGTCAAGAAGGTTCCAGGCCTCAAAAGAATAGAATTGTACTGTAGAGTTGGAAGGGTCCCCAAGGGTAATCTAGTCCAACCCGCTGCAATGCAGGAATCTCAACATGCAGTCCCCCATCTACTTTGAAAGCATACTGGACCCTGCTTAGCTTTGCAAATGTGTTGAGCTTAGCAAATGTTCTAGCAAACAGTTTTATTGCTATACCACATATGAAGAAACGAGACTTTGAAGAGCCTGAGAAAGTTCTCTTGCATACGGATTATTAATGAAGACATTTCAGTAATTCTCACAGTTGTTCCCCACCACTCCCCACCCCCCGAAAATAATGAACAAGATCTGCAGAAAAAGGTAAAATGTTATAAGTTCTTTCATATAGAAATATGGACACATATTACTGGTTGATGCTCTGATGATCTGCATGAATCGTGCCGAGGGGAAAAAAGGAATGATGGGTGTGGTAATGGAATGTGTACCAAATTCACCTAGGCTCTAAATTCATCCACCGTGAACACCATCAACTTTTTAAACAGTTCAAAAGGGAGAAAATTAATTATCTTTGTTTTTAATTGCAACATAGACATCACTGAGAGCCAGTGTGGTGCAGTGGTTAAGAGCGGTAGTCTCGTAATCTGGGGAACCGGGTTTGCGTCTCCGCTCCTCCACATGCAGCTGCTGGGTGACCTTGGGCTAGTCACACTTCTCTGAAGTCTCTCAGCCCCACTCACCCCACAGAGTGTTTGTTGTGGGGGGAGGAAGGGAAAGGAGAATGTTAGCCGCTTTGAGACTCCTTAAAGGGAGTGAAAGGCGGGATATCAAATCCAAACTCTTCTTCTTCTTCTTCTTCTTCTTCTTCTTCTTCTTTCTTAGTGTTTCCCACAACTCTGATGATATGCATAAACCCTGACCTGCAGTTCTTCCTGCTACTGTAGTAAATAATGGGCTTTTCTATTCCTCAAAACTCTGCCAAAGGTTTTTTTAACACTGACATATGACAAATTCTATTTTGGTTCTGCACCTGTGTCTTCCGGTGAATTACCACTACAAGATGCTGAAATTGCTACACTTATTTCACTTATGCTTTGCCAGACTCCAAAAGCAAGTCTTAGCAGCCCAGGGTCACATGTATCAGAAAGCCAGGATTTGTGGATTATTATTTCTGAGCTTGACACTGATCTTTGCCAGCTCATGACCTCTATATAGGTCAACTTCCTCATTTTGGAAATGAGCATAAAGTGATTATCCTTCCTAAAGTGTCATTATCATTAGAGTCCCATCCCCCTCACCCCACAAGAAAAAAGTCAAAAGACAATGCAGCCCCATGCAGACATCCCTGGGAGTAAGCTTCCTTGTATGTAGCAGGACTTGCCTCTGAGCAAACATGCCCATAATTTCTCTGTAAATGTGCTGTTAATATTCTGGTGTAAATCTCTAGAGCTATAAGGATGAAGCCTAAGCACTTAAGTTACAATAAGCATTATAAAATACCCTCATGTGTTCTAAGCAGGACACCCACACACCAGATTTGTTTAATGACCTAATCCAATTAAACATGTATCTAGCGCTTCTGCTCCAGTACTGTATAGAACAGAATCTAAAGCAATGGAGAGTAATGTTGCTTAAGGTAGCAGATGTGGAAAAAACCCATACCCATGTTTTGGCATTACTCTCCCAAAGTTCTAGAACGAAGTTAATCAGTGGCAGGAATTAATCCTTTCTGACAGCATGTTGCCTGTCTCCGATTTCATCCGTTCTTGCCTTGATCTTTTTTGCCAAGGGAATGAGAAATGTGTGACATGGACCCTCTTAGCTTAATACTTTATCAAAAAGAAACGGAAAGAAAAAGTACAGAGAACAATAGATCCCTATGTCAGTTCACCCCACACGATGGCTGAAGGATGCAAATACATGTATACATATACAGTCACAGACATACATATGTTGTCATCCAAAACATATGGAGGGCAATGGATTGGTAAAGGCTGGTAATTTTAAAGGAATCTATGGTTCTTTGTTCTTTACAGACGATAAATTTTTGTTTTTGTTTTTAAAAACCAATGTGCAAATAGGGTTTTAAAAACCACATTTCCTTAAAATCAATGTTAAAAACTGAGGAAATATGAAAGCACTAAAAGATCAGACTACAGGTGAATGCAATTGAGAAAGAGAATAATTACATTGTCCCCATCTTCAAAAAGAGGAAAAAGAAGACCCAGGTAACTACTGACCGGTGAGCTTGACATTGATACCAGGAAAGGTCCTAGAACAGATAATTCAACAATTGGTCTGTAAACACTGAGAAAGGGATACTGTGATTACTAAGACCCAGCTTGGGTTTCTCAAAAACAAGTCATATCTGATTAATCTCATTTCTTTTTTTGATATAGTTACAAGCTTGGTGGATCAGGGGAATGCTGTGGACGTAGTATATCTTGATTTCAGTAAGGCTTTTGAAAAAGTCCCCCATTATATTCTTGAGGAGAAACTGATAAAATGGCTGGACAAGGTAACTATCAGGTGGATTTGTAGCTGGTTTACTGACTGAGCCCAAAGGGCGCTCACTAATTTTTTCCTCATCATCCTGGAAAAAACTGACAAGTGGGGTGCTGCAGGGTTCTGTCTTGAGCCTGTTGTGGTTCAATGTCTTTATAAAAAACTTGTATGAAGGTATTAAGGGGATGCTCATCAAATTTGCAGATGACATCAAACTGGGCAGAGTGGCCAATGCCACTGAAGACAGAATCAGGATTCAAGATGATTGGATTACTGGGCCCAAACAAATAAAATGAATTTCAGTAGGGACAAATGTTAGGTTCTACACTTAGATAGGCAGAAACAGCTGCACAAAAATAAGATGGAGGAAACCTGGCTTACCAGCAGTACATGTGAAAAGGAACTGGGGGTCTTAGTAGACCACAAGCTTAACATGAGTCTACAATGTGATGTAGTAGCAAAAAATAGCTAATGCTATTCTAGGCTCCATCAACAGTAGTATAGTATTCAGATCAAGGGAAATAATAGTACCACTCTATTCTGCCTTAGTCGGACCACATCTGGAATACTGTGCCCAGTTCTGGGTGCTACAATTTAAGAAGGATATTGACAAGCTGGAACATGTGCAGAGGAGGGCAACCAAGAGGATCAAGGGTATGAGAGCCAAGCCTTATGAGGAGTGGTTGAGGGAGCTGAGTATGTTTAGCTTGGAAAAGAGGAACCTGAGAGGAAATTGATAGCCATCTTCAAATATCTCAAGGGCTGTCATTGTGGAGGGTAGGACTTGAACCAATAGTGATTCAAATGAGATTCTGACTAAACATCAGAAAAAACTTTCTGACAGTAAGAGCTGTTCAGTTGTGGAACGGACTCCCTCAAAAGGTTGTGGACTCTGCTTCATTGGAGGTTTTAAAGCAGAGGCTGAATGGCCATCTGTCGTGAATGCTTTAGTCGAGAATCCTGAATTGCAGGGGGTAGACTAGATTACCCTTGGGGTCCCTCCAACTCTACAGTTCTGTGGCTCTGTAATTAACAGATAATCCCTCCCTCAGTTTCACTGCACACCACAAGCTCTGATCCTTTAAATTTAACAGGACATTTACATGCCACAGGGCAACATAGATAACCTGGACTACTTTAGAGAAAGGTAAGGTGGCCAGGAGCTATGGTGATGAAACCTACAAAAATAAAATTGGCGGTGGTGGGGTGACAGATGGACTAAAAATGTG